TATTGCTGGTGAGTGGGTAAGCGACTGAAGTGCTTGTCGCCACACTGAAGCGGGGGCTGCATATCGCCGTGAATGAGTGAGAGAGCGGAGTCCTCTACACACGGCAGCCGCTGATGTGGGGCTGGTATCATGTGAATGAGAAAGCAGTATCTTCCAAACACAGCAGCTGCTGATGAGGGGCTGGTATCGTGTGAATAAGAGAGCAGTGTCTTCCAAACACGGCAGCCGCTGATGAGGGGCTGGTATTGTGTGAATGAGTGAGGAGCCAGTGATTGTGCTTTGCACACGGCAGAACACCGCTCTGAGGTGGGGAGCTGCACACTTATTAGACAGTGGGTGACATGAGAACCCTTAGCTCCAGTATCTGCACTCGGCTCTCCGCTCCGCCATGGAAGGGGGACGTGAGAAGCCGGGCTGATGTCCTGCAGGTTCTATGGGTGAGAGGAATGCGGACATTTTGTTGGCATGAGCTCATCACCAGAGTCCTTAAGGTCCTCCACTGATCGAGGGCATACGGACTCATCTGGCATCTGAAGAAAAATATCATACTCACCTAAACGCTGCAGAGGAGCGGCAATCCAGGCACTACCCTCTGATGAGCCAACCTTAACTGCGAGCTGTAATAGTTTATAAGCCATATTCTTAGGTTATTCAGCAAAGTGAAGGAGAAGATTCTGACGTAATTGTCGCGTGCACCACATTTTATACTGCCTCTCGAGCGCGTCAGTATTTGCATGCGATTTGCATACTTCGCGACAATTGGCCAGTCATTTGGACTTGCATGAGCCAATAGGACTTCAGGAAAGGTTGGAAGGGAAAGAGTTCCCATAACGGAGAAGTGTCTCCGTGATGTCTCGTGAAAGCTTGAGGGAACGCTTTATGTTTAACGTTTTAACATTTAACATGTCGCGTTAATATTCTGGCTCATCTGCATGTCTTTTAGCATCAATGTCTTAGTACATTAAACCAGCATTTTAAAATGCTACAAAATTGTTCACAAGATCCTAGGGATTTGATTTTGCTTGTCATTTGTTGAAATAAATATAAAAAGTACAGTGAGTTTGTGACTGTTCGCTGAATGTGACCCAATCTCTGATTCTCCTCCGTGGCCATGGAAAAATTAATATTTATAATGACAACAATTATGCTTTGTTATTTAAAAGTTTCCAACAAAGAAATGGATCGACTTCTGTCAGCTTGTTGAACACACACCTTTATTTGGATAATCTATCATATGACGGCTGAAGCAGCAGCGAGGGTCCAGTGTGTGACACTGTTTTCACGCTAATCAGGTAAACAATGTAAACCAAATTCTACAGAACCAAATTATCATGCAGTGCGATAAAATAGCTTCTCTTCCCTGCAAACGATACAATGAAAAATGAATGATTGTTTAACTTAAAGGCAAAAACAAAACAAAAGATAAGCAGCTATCCTTATAGAGAATGACAAGTAACCATGGGAACGGATAGCGTATCCTGCTAATATGGCGGCGCCTTCCCGAAATGCAATGCGGAGTGAAACGATCGTGACGTAACTCCTCATTCTCTATTGG